TCATGGCTTTGCTGACGCATAAAAAGGTTCTGGAGGTTGGGGGGAGTGAAAAAGGAGACTGCCTAAAAGTGTTTGTGTAACTGGAGACTAAAGAAGCCTGTTAACATGTAGTTTAACACTCAAAAGAAACTCTGAACAGCTGAAATGCCTTATAAATAGCTCAGACCCAGAGGAAGTGCAAACGTCTGCATTGTGAATTGTAGATCTTAATTACAGACAATGGCTGGTACAGCAAGTAGCACGGAAAAAAAAAAAAGTGAAACAGTTGCACTGTTCATGGTTGGCAATAATTCTTCAGGAAAATATTTACTATCAATCAGTTATGAGAAAAGGGACTCTGCGCTCATAAAACAGCACGTTGCTTCTCATACCAGGACCATTTTGCTTCAGCATAATCTGAATTTAAACAGCTTGTTTCCTGCGGATATAATTTTGGAAATAAATAAAACAAGTCTATCAAAATCTGGAGAATGTGCGATAGGGGGAGGGCGGGGGGAGGAACTCACATTTCTGTTTTAGTCATTTGCAAAGAGATTATTAGACGGGGAGGGGGTGGGGTGGGAAGGGGACCCGAAGCAAAAAGCTTGACTTGACCTCCAAAGAGACAACCTCAAAATTAAGGTTAAAACACGCCCCCCGCCCCCCACCGATGGCTACGAAAGGAAGATCAGAACCAAGTCAAGGCCTCTGAATCTGTTTGCAATGCAGAGGTCTAAAACATTCAGGATTTCACACTGCACTTCACATACTTAAAGCGTGTTTGCGGGCAGTCAGTGATCTTCCACAACGCCCTTCTCAAATACCAGTAAGCAGTTTGTGTTATCCCCATTTCACAGATGGGAAATAGATTCATAGATGTTAGGGTTGGAAGGGACCTCAATAGATCATCTAGCACCGAAAAGCAGAGACTTGCTCAACTTCACCCACGTCAATGGATTTAACTCAGTTCCTCGCTCCCTACCACTGGCTCTTTTGACCAAATGATGACTTTAGCACCTTCCATCCCTTGGCGATTTATACCCAGTCTCTAACGAGGGAAGACTGACCACCATGAAAACACAGGCACATCAGGGTGGAGCGTGGCAGCTGCCAGACACCACCTGGTATCGCACACTGCTTCTGTCCCAGAGTTAAGCGGGTGGAAGAATATACTTTCTGATCAGAACTGCTGGGGCATATCAGGAAAGAAATGTAATTACTCATGTTGTTTCTATCCAAGAATCAGCCCTTTTAGTCTTACATCTAGAGGATTTGGTGATTTCAAAGCTCTGCCTTCTGGAGAAAAATGGCAGCTCCGTAGTTTGGCCACAATCTACAACGGCTGCGATGCCTCTCGAGTAGTGAATGCCAAGGCATTTTCATGGAGCAGGAGCTATCAGTGTGATTTAAAGGGATCCAAGACGCATGCAAGAGAGATTTCAGATGGATTCCTTCTACCGTTATCCGGGGCATCCCGCACAGACCCCCGAGTGTTTGAGTTTAAGGAGACCTTGCAGATCTGCAAATGCAAGAACAATGTTGTGTTTGAGAGTGTGCAGGCCAGCGTCTGCATAGGCTTAGGACCGAAAGAGGTGCAGATGCAGAAAGTGCCTGTACTACCACTCGACTACTTCTTCCATCATTTCTGAACACCAACGGGGAAACTGGTTAGATAAAATTACACCTCCTCGAAAGAAACCCTCATGTAAAAGCATTCAGTAGTCCTGAAGTTTGAAGTATGGTGTCATCACTGCAGAGTAAAGAATTAGGTTCTTATAGGCTGAAGAGGTTGGCCAAGCTGCAGGGTGCTACTGCGGCTTACTGAAGTATTCCTTTATCCAAGCATCTCATTATACTGTCTTGAGACTGGTATTATTTAGCTGGGTTTTAGGATCACAGGGCTGGAAGGGACCTCCCACAAGGTCATCTAGTCCAGCCTCCTGCTCAAGACAGGATCAGCCCTGACTAAACCAAGCGTCCGTCCAACCTGCTCCTGACAACCTCCAAGGATGGAGGAGGTTGCACCACTTCTCTGGGCAGTCTGCTCCAAAGCAAGGCAAACCAGGGGTGCAAACGCAGGCCTGATTTGTGCCTGGCTCCGGCAGGCAGAGAGACCTTGCCGAAACAAGTGTTGGTAGTGCAGGATTTTTTAGATTGCTAGAAAAGGAAAAAGTCCCGTCCCCTGGAAAACGGAGGTTCGAACATTGCTCTCGTACAACGCAAGGCTGAAGCTGGCCCGGCTGTACAGGTTCATACACAACAGACCTGTGTGGTGTGTTGATTGTGTAGTGCCTTGGTGTGTCATCCGGCAAGTTTCTTACTAAAGAAAGCCCTTTGAATTAGAAAGGAGCCAGGGAGGACGAGGATCTGGCAGGCCCAGGACGGACAGTGAGAGCCAAATCTAATCAAGTCCAACTGACGAGAACAGTAGCAGACAAGATGTCTCATTCCTACCCATTAAAGGAAACAATAATGCAGCCAAGGATCCCGTGGACTTTCCTGCGTGGTCTCTGGCAGAAGAGCCAACTAAACCAAGACCTACGCGACACCCAGATCAGCTCCGTTGCGGAGAGGGGCAGAAACGGGCCCACCTTGGCACATGGGGAACTGAGCTCAGCAGCAGAAAGCTAGTGGTATAGGATGCTGAATGGTGATGAGACACCACATTTGCAGGGCCAGAAGCATCCCTGGACTCGACGACATGCCAGGGTTTGGAGGGTTTCCCCCGCCCCCGTTTGTTTGCTTTTTAAACAGCGCACTCCTCTAATAAGGGATGGAGCGCACACCAACGGCGCTGCCTGGCCGGGAGATCCTGGCTCGTGGAACATGGCACAAACAATAGAGGCAGATGCTCACTTGGCTGGGTTTCAATGAGCCTCATTAAAATCAACACCCTGTCCTTGGAGCTGAGGTTCAAGCTAGCTTCTGCCTCCTTCACCCAAATGCCACTAACTCCTGGGAACAGCATCCATCCGCAGCGGCAGACTAGGAGCAGCGGCGTGGAGGGAAAGCGTATCCCGTGTTGTTCTGTGGGGCTAAGATGTAAGGAAGTTGCACACAGACCTACGCCCACTTTGGACACACGTCCTCTGCAGAAGTCACCACCGCCTTTGTGGCTGGCAGAGGACACAGCCCAACCAGGTACTTGGAAGGAGGGTAGTAAGAGATGGTGTAGGGGACACCTCCATCCCAAAACACCCATGCACCCAATTCAACGAAACAAAGGTAAATGTCGCGCCCTCCTCTCTCCACGCACGCTGGGAAGCGTTCGGATTTCAAACGTGTCTAAAACAACCTGGCTTGCTCTCTGTTCATTTTGCTGTATCCAAGTACCTCCATGTTTCAATATGGTAGAGCTTCAGAGGACAAATTCCTGCCAAAAGGCAGGGATGAGGCCAAGATGCATGCAAAAAAAAAAAATCACCAAAACTTGGGGGTGGTTTAAGATTAGCATGCATCCCCCTCCAAGAGAGCCAGAGCACTTCACTGTCCAAGATGCTGCCAGCCTGTCTTACGTGAGGGCTGGCTGTGAGCTAGGTACTGCAGAAAACCCGTCACGGAGAAGATCTTGTGATAGACCCAGGCGTGACACTGTGTGGTTACAGGGTGACATCTCGACACTACACTGCAGAATACTCTAAGATGTTATTTAACTTCAGCTGCTCTCTCCAATTTAGGAAGAAGAGGAATGACTAGCATGGCTGATTGCAACCAAAGGTGGCACAGACTATACCTATCTGAGATGCTTTCAGGGCCAATGGCTTCAATTCTAGAACTGGAGTTCCCAAACTGTGGTATGCATACCCCTGGGGGTACGCAAGACATCTCTGGGGGGTACGTGGGAGAAACTGTGTAACAGCAGATTTAATTTTCATTATAATACTGGTCATTTAAGGGGTTAAAATACAAAATGCATGCTGGTAGGGGTATGTGGGCAGCTGGTACATCTGGAAAGGGGTATGCAATAAGAACAAGTTGGGAACCTCTGTTCTAGAGGATGCAGGAGCCCCTCTACCTGCAAGCCCAGCTGAAATGACAATGTCAGACACTGTCCAAGGTCGGAAACTGAATGCAGCGGGGCTGTGATGTCAAGGTTAGCCACGGTGCCCAAGCCAGGCTCCTGCTCAGCAGCTGCAAAACAAGTCATTCTCTTTTGAAACGTGATCGAGTCAACAAGAGACTAAATGGCGAAGCTGACACGTGCCTGGGACTCGGTGCTGACACTGCTCCGCCGCACTAAGGGGGGTGACGGTAACGCTAGAAGTGCGGTCCTTTGAATGAGATAACAATCCCTTCTATCTTTTGCAAATGGACGTCTCAAGAGAAGTTGAAAATCCTGGTACAAATGGAAGAGACTGAAGTAAAGGAGCTTAGGCACCTCCCTGCCAACAGTTCTCCTCTCCTTGTAATTGCACTGTCCAAGTTTGAGTCACCTATCAATCACGGTGGCTGAAACCCAGCCCGTGCAGGGGGCTAGCCCACAGCCTACCAACTCCTTCACCCTGTGTTAAGCGCTTCCCAGGCTGTGCTGGTGGCTCCACTCTGGGTATCCAGCTAGCTGGGTTTTGAAGTGCTTTGATACACTGTGAAAGGTTCTGAGCAAACCCATTTGTTTTATAGCTGGATGGGCAGAGTGTCGGGAACACGCGAGTCAGTCTTAACAGGAAGCAATTACCCAGGGTGGGGAAATGTATCCAGAAGAACGCCCTTTATAAGCCAATGCAAAACACATGTTCTAGAGATGCAGTCCTTATACCCAAGAGATACAGGCTTCTGTCTCTGGGGTCAGAGATCAACCCTATTTCAACAACATGAAAGGTGTCTCGCAGTCTAGGGCGCCTGCCTTGCAGCTTGTCAGCAACCCGTTGAAAATATTTATTAGGAGAGATTTGCTTTTCTGGCTTCCCCATAGACAGGCACCAAGCAGAATCCGAAGTCTGATTGCACATGCTGGCTGCTCTAGTCTGCTCACGAGCAGCTTTGTGACACCAGGATACAAACCTGCGATACACAAAGGGCATTTTACTGAGGGCTGCACTGGTATGTTGTCAAGGAGGGTTCCACCTACTCGGTAAAAGAAAAAAAATGTGTCTGACTTCAGATGTCAGTACGCGATACTTTATCTCTTGAGCTGAGAGACCAGTCTGGCTGCTTGAATTGAAGAGCAGCACTTAATGCTGGGATATGTAGTTTCCATGGACTGCACCTCTAACCCAGGATGACTGCAAGCTGAACGATGGCAGGCTGTAGGCCCACAAGCTGCTCAGCGAGTCACCTGCGTGCAGTGCCAGTCGTGCAACAGGCCCATTTACTAATGGAAAATAAAAAGGGGCCACAACATCCAGCTTTGCACCGGTGACGCCCAGGCTGAAAAAACAACAGCTGAGAGCTGGTTCAAAGGTGGATCCTGCACAGATCGCTCCAAGCTGAAAAAGGAAGCGAAAGGAGAAGATCCAAGGAATAAGCAGTGAGAAGAGGGGGTAGGTTTTATAGCGGTCGTGTTGTGGTGACAGAGGAGCAACAAAATGCCAGCTGGTTCCAGTAACAGATGGCTGCATGCACTGATCTGTCCTGCATGCCTACTTCCAACCTCCTTCCAATGGAAACATGAAGCTTATGCAAGGCTAAACATGTCCTTTACACAGGCCTTTTTATGCATATGGTATCATGGCTGGAATGTTTTCCGCTTGCGCGCACAAGCCCTCATGGAGCTGGCTTCTTTTATTCTAGTTATATTTAGGTTTAGGAAAAAGCTGGTGGTTATTGACATTTCAGCTCTTCCCAGTCCTATGGGCGCATCTAGTACACCTCGTCCCACTCCCACCGCCGTGTTGGGTTTCATTGTTAATCGGGTTTGTCTTGCGGTGCCGGGCATCAGAAAGCCCCGCATGCAAAGAGCCTCCATCCGGCACGTGCAGGTGTAACTCTGGGTAGTGACCGGCAGAGGGTGCTGGAGACAGTCATTCGATGGGAAGAAAACCCACCCCACCCCCAAACCCTCCTCTGGGAAGGACTTGCTGTTCCTACACATGCAGCCACCCTGTGGACAGGGGAAACCGGGGACCCAAACTCCCACTCTCCAAGCGGAAGCACAGCACCCCAAAAGGTAGGGGATAGGCCTTCCATGCAGGCCAGGAAGGCGGCCCAAAGCATCTGCTGTTCGAAATATGTTTGTCATACCCCATTCTTCCAGGATAACCTCTCCCTGCTTAACAGCGAACAAGGTGCTCACAAAAAAGACACCGAAATAGAGCCGCCCGATCACTTACTTTGGCCACGCAGTTTTCCGTCTTCATCGCGGTGCTTCCTAGACACACGGTTTCCTGGTTTAAGCACAGTCTGGCACAGCTGTTGTAGGTCTGCGGAAAGACGACAACGGTTCTCAACAGAGCAGCACAGCTTTGCTTTGCGGGCATCACATTTTTGGTGCAAGATACCCTCACAGCCCTCTGAAGCCACCCTGCTGTATTTCTGAATCGCTCTTCTCCTTAAAGAGGGGAGGTGAAGTGTGAAGGCCCGTACAAACAAGTGTGCACTGTTCATCTGTACAGGGTGTGCGTGCACATGTGTGTACGTAACATTATGCTACCCTCCGTGCATGGATATATTGTATTTTTATTTATTTGTTTTTTAAATAGAAGGGGAAAATATTGCAAACCATATGGCAATTTCAAGGTTTACCAGGAAAAAAGGGGAAGAGGGAAAGGAGACAAATTAGTTTTGTATTCTTTTTTCTTGCTTGTTTAGGAGTATGAAGACAAAGGGCAGAGGGAGGTGCTCTTTTCCTGAAGCCTCTACGGATTCTTGTAATTAAATATCTGGGGGAAAAAGGCCCATTACAAAAGCAGACCTGATAAGCTGCAGACTGTACCTCCAGTCTCCCAGCGTCTGGGTGCTGTCCTTTTGGATCAGACGTCCTCTGGGCACGGGACATCTCTTCCTACCTCTCCAGACAACGGGAGACACCTCAGCCTCGGGAGACACATCAGGGATGTGCTCTCCCCTCCTTTGTAAAGCCCTCTGAGATCACACCATGACAGGAAAGTAGGGCTGGAAGAGACCCCGCAAGGTCATCCAGTCCAAACCTCTGCTCACGGCAGGATTGTCCCTAATAAACCATCCCAGTCAAGTGTCTGTCCAACCTGCACTTGAAAACTTGCAAGGACGGAGAGTCCACTACTTCTCTAGGTGCCTGGCTCCAATGCTCGACCACCCTTGGAGCCAGAAAGTTCCTCCTCATCTCCAACCTGAATTCCCCCTGCTGCAGCTTGAGGCTGTTTCTCCAAGTCCTGTCCCCTACGGTCAAGAGAGAAAAGCCCATCTCCATCCTCTCTACAATCACCCTGCGGTATCTGAAGACTGTTAACACATCCCCCCGCACTCTTCTCTTCTCCAGACTAAATGAATAAGATAATGCATGGAAAGTGCAATGGACGGAATAATTAAGAAGGCTCATGCTGCAGTTTGATGGGTTTTGCTATTTAAGCTCAGACATCCTAAACCAGACGGGTCTCTAAGGCTCCTCTACATGTGCAGGTAAAGGCACGATGTGGTCTAATGCATGGTTGTGCCTCCTGCCAGGACACACGTGCATGGCAGGAGGCGTGGTTGGGGGACTGCGCATTATATCTCATTGCGCCTTATGCTGGTGCAGGGGGAGCCTGATCCCACCAGCAAGAAGCAAGGGCCTGCAGCTGGGGGCCCCACGCACCCCAGTTGAGGGGCACCCCAGGCACCCCCAGACCCGGAGCATCGCTGCTGCAATGATCTCCATGTCCCGGGGGTGCAGGAAACCCCTGGGCCCAGAAACTGGTGCCCCCAGGGTTTCTCACGCCCCTGGTAAGGGGAGCTGCCCCTGCATCGATCCTCCAGCCCGGAGGGGCCTCCTACACCCTGGAGCTCTATGGATTAGGGCGGCCATGATTCTGGGGGTCCCAGGGTTTTCAGCAGCCCTGGACCTCGGGGATGACAGATGCCTCAGTCCCTTAGGCTCAGGGTTTTTATGCTGGGCATGGTTCCCCCCTCCGGCGCTGAGCCCGGCAGCTGATGGGACTCCCAGTTGCAGGGGAGACCCTGCTGCACATGCAAATCGGAGCTAGATAGCAACCAGCTATAAACTCAGTACACATTTCCAAGGTCTAACTTTACAGGTGATGGGAGCTTTTTATCATGCGATAGCTACCTTGCATATGTAGCTAGTCTCCAGGTAGCTGCACAATTAACCAGTTAATTGGGCAACACCTGTAAGACGTAGAGGGGGCCTAACAAAGATCTTTTCTTCCCAAGCCCTTGTCTGCCCAAGCTTGGTTTGATAACACTCAGTCTACCAGTAACAGGATGGCTGTGGCATCCAGAAGCTGCAGCTATGAATCAGGACCCTGTTGCATTAAGTGGAGAACAAACAGGGAACAAGAGCTCAGGATCCAAGTACAGGACAGCAGAGCGATGGGAAGAGCACAAGGAAACAACATCAGCGCACCAGGTGCTGAGCTATCGCTGACGGCATCGCAGCAAAAGGAATATTGGAGAAGTTTATGGGGAATCTCCTTCCCAAATCAAGGGGCAGCAAAGGAGAATGGGATGATGTAGCAGGGGCTGGTCCTGCTTTGAGCAGGGGCTGGACTACATGCGACCTCCCCACCCTCACTGCCTGGGGTTCTGTGAGAAAGCAGGAAAGGGGCTTGTCTCCAGATGTTAGAAATAGGTGACAAGAACTGCTGAGCCTCTCGATAGTGGACCAGAGAATAAAGAGGGAGCAATGAACTGCCTTTATGGAAAGGCAATTTTTTCTGATGCCTTACAAAGAAATGTGCTGGTAAACCAAAGAAGGCAGGCTGCACACTGCACAGGTCTCTGTAAGACACACGGAGGGGGCAGCGGATGGGAGGGGACACGCAGGGGCACTCAACTCACCCAGGGGCTGCAAGGTCTTCCTTCCAAAGCATCAGTTTATTCATTCGGCCCCAAACTTGCAAGACACCATGACACACACAGTCCACAGGCTGCAAGGGCCCAGAGGCCTTGGTGTGTCCTCCCAAGCCGGGCACCAGAGCCAACCTCCCTTGTGCTGGTTCTTCCCTTCCAGCCACCCCAAGCTGAACCGGCTCGGCCCCCCTCACGAGTCCGACGCTCAGTCCAGGTGCAGACTGACGGCCCACAGCTCGGTGCGTAAACCTTCCCACCCCGTATGGTACCCGTCCACTACTCTTCTCAGGACTTCCTAACCGGGAAAGCAACAAGCGCCGACAAGACTGCAGGACGCTCTGGCTCACGCCGACATCCCTCCAAGCCAGACCGCCGAGACCTGGCGGGAGAGGGTGGGCAGCAGGCGGCACCTGGCAATTTCCAACGCTGGATCCCAAAGGAGACGGTGAAAGACAGGAGTGCGCGAATCCTCTCAAACAGCCCTGTGTCACGTGGGTCAGCACAACGGGTCTAGACTCAAGCTGGGATTAGGTCTCAAGCATAAAGGAGCTTGACGGCCTCCACCTCCCCGAGGAAATTTGCTGACACCATAAAACCATCCGTTTGCTACGCCAAGCGCTTCCTACTCGGGGGACAGATGAGAACCAAGTGTTATGAATTATGCTGGAGACGCGCACTGACCTAGCTGGTAAGGGGAGGTATGGACACCGCCTGCCTGCACTGCGCTCCAGACTATGCGACTCAAACCTCATCCAAATTGGATTCAGCCCGTAATTTGAGGAGAAAACCCTTGAGAAGTTGATTCCTTCTCACTCCTCAAGACACCTGCATCTCTGCTTCCCTGCCCATGAGCTGGGGATAGAGCTACCTGCCGTGCAAATCTAGTTGGAGGATCAGCCTTTGCACGGCGATTCGAAAATATCATGTGCTATGTCAGTGCTTAATCATCAGCCACCTAGTTCTTCCTCCACACTTTGTCTTGCCACGAAAACGGTGAAAGGAGCTGAAACTTAAAAGGAACGTGAAAAATGCTTGAGTCTCGAGTAACTAAGAAGAGCGGCGAATCCCGGTGAAGATTTATACATGCCCTACCGCAAGCTCAGGAAGGTCTCATGCTAGAACTTAAAGGGTGAAGCAAGCTCTCTTCTAAATTAAAACAGAAGTTGAAGTTATTCAGTCACAGGCATGCATGCTAACAGGTTACAACGAATATCGGGCGGATGTATTCCTTCCTTCCGCGAGTCTCCAGTTCCGAGATCTGTTTTTTGCCTGAAAAGCTGGATCCTATCTCAAACTGAGCTTTAGTGCTACAGCTCGTATGGCTGCCCGGGAGACTAAATGCTGACCCCAAGTCTGGGAAGAGGAAAAACTTTTCAGATCGCCTTAAAAATGGACCCCTCTAAAGTTCTTATCTCGTCTGAAGGCGGCCAAGTTTTTCCTCGCCCTCCGTCGAGATAACAGGTTTCCGTGCCATAGGAAGCACTTTGAAACGGTAGCCTGGTTCGACGCCAGAGGCAGATAGCTTTGCGTTGGAGTGCTTTAATATGTTTTTATATCGCATATAAAGCATGCAAACATAAACCAGTTTGTTGAAAACTACCTTCTTTGTGGAAGCCGGCTGTAATTCTGAACAAGTTTTCAATTTTTGCACTGCTGCTAGGGTAAAACATTTTAAAGAGTTTAATTTTTACAGTGGCTTCAATGACACGGGATTATCTAACAAAGTAATGGCTAATCAATAGAGGGTTTAGTTGTCAGGTGAAACATATAACACACTAAAAGGGATTGATTGCCCGACTCCTCCTTATTTACTAGGAGGTATATATTTAAAATGACACAAACTTGTTACCAACTGCATTCCTTTAACCTTGCAAAAGCCGTTTGAGAAGAGTGTTAAGCAGCCCTATAGCAAAACAAGGTCTAATGAAAAAAAAACCCCCTACAACTATATGGCAGCCCCAAATCATGTCAGGAGCAGGGGAGACCACAAAGCCGCATCCGTTCTCAGCCAACGGCTTAAAATGCCACAAGATGCTAGACTGTAGTTCACTAAACATCGAGTTTTTAGCTGAATCTGTTCCACAAGTATTTTAAGTTGGGTTTTTTCCAGTGCTTATGTGGCTCGGTCCGATAGACTGTCTATTTAAAGAGAGAGCCCATGACCCCGAGCTCCTTGGGCTCACACTTCCCCCCCCTTGAAATGATGGGGAATGAAGGCGGCGAGCCCGGCTGAAGCACCGAACCCAAAGTGGAATTGCGTTTATATGGATTTCAACTTGCGGAAAAGCCATTTCTTCGGCCATTAATTCAGAGAATCCCCAAGTCCTTGAACAAAACTCCTCTTTTTAATAGACACTGCAACCCAGGAGCTCAATAAGATTTTTTTCCCCACTAGTTAATAATTACATGATTTATCAGAGAAAGATAACACTAA